GCTTTTGAGATTTATAACTGCACAGTCGATTTGCAACACTGCGTAGGTGTTGTTGCATGCCATATCAGTGGCAAGAGCCATTAGGTTGACTCTGATTGGGTTTATTTGAGGCTAAAAAGTCGAAAGGCGAAAACGTTGACGATCACTTAAGCGCCCGCACAGTAACTACATATAAGTATATTTGTATATATATAGGTATATATGTATATGTTAGCTTTTCTATTGTATGTATTTATGTGTGCAACATATATAGTTCCCGCAGTTAACAGCTTGACGTTAGTGTTGCAACAAACAATCGAATGCGCCACAGTTGGCAGACAGCCGGCCAAATAAATTAATAACAAATAATAAAACTGTCACATGGCCATTGGCCCGAGGACATTTGGAGGCCAAGTATACGAAAAATATCTAACTCACCAATAATAAAGTAAAAGGCCGGGTCGGTTCGTTCAAGCCGTTGCCTATCTGCATGCACATATCTATATTTGTATGTATGTAAAAGCGGCAGCCTCTAGCCGCTAACTGAAAACAGCCAATTAGAGCTTTCACCCAAAAAATGAATGGCTTTTCACAATTCGCATATTTTGTTCAAATTCATTCATACATGCAATTATTAATATAATATATTCAGTGATTTATTAACATCAGCATTATTATTATTTTTTTTTTTTTGGTTGTCATGTTGACTTGCCTCCCGCAGTTATTGCAAATACTTCATTAATTTCCCACATTTCAAATATGTTGTTGACACTAAAATAAAGCACAGCAATAGTTTTGCAAACCTGCTGGCGCATTTCTCCACAGCTGGCCAGTGCGTGTGTGGGTGTAAGTGAGAGACCGCGCCGCTTGGGTGTGCAGACAGCAACTTTATGCAACAAGTGGCAGGCGACGTTCACAACTGAAAGCGATGTTGTTGCTACACAATGCAATAAATTTAAGACTTGAAAAAAAAACTAAAAATTTTTAAATCTTTTAAATATATTATTTTGTTTACTGTAGAGAAAAATTAAGCAGTTAATGAAACGAATCAGTAGTTATTTCATAAAAAATTGTTGGCAGGCAGAGATAGTATACAAAATGAATTCGTTCCTTTTGTTTAAATTTCTCAAATTGTCGTGAATTTTAAGTCCCTCGATCTGTCTTATGGTTTGCATCGATCAGCTTTTATGGCCGATCTGAACAATTTTCTCAGATATTGTACCGTTGCTTTGGACATTAATCCATGTCAAATTTCGTGAAGATATCTTGTCAAATAAAAAAATTTCTTAATTTCAATCGAAAAAGTTTGTACGGCAGTTGCATATATACTATAGTAGTCCGATATGAACAATTTCTTTGGAGAACAATATCTTTAAGATATCTCGTCAATTAAAAAAGTTTTCTTCATTCCGATTGTTCAGTTTTTATGGCAGCTGTATGCTATATAGATGTCCGATAGCTGCTTTGAGAGAAAAAGACGTGTGAACAGAGAAATTTCAGATTGGTATCGCTAATACTGAGGGACTAGTTCGCTTATATGCAGACGGACGGACGGCCAGACAGACGGGCATAGCTAAATCGACTCAGCTCGTCATGCGGATCATTTATATTTATAGAGTCTTTGACGCTTCCTCTGAGTGTTCAGGGTATAATAGTAATTTTACTCTTTATCCTCCGTTGGGAACTTGAAAGCACTGCCTTGATAATATTTTAAGCAAATCCTATCCTATCCTATCTAGAGTACGCAGCTGCAAACATTTCAAAGTCACGCTAATGTTCCAATTATTTTTTAACGAAATTCACCGTTATAATGACGGTCACAAAATCACTGCATTACATATTTTCGCAACATTTCTAATTAGCTAACCTGTGCATATTTATATTCCTCTGTATGTATGTGTATATCTGCTCCACTATCTCCATTTGCGCCTATCTTGGAAATTACTGAGGCGCACCCATTTATCTGAGCAATTTTAACACATTTGCATTAGGAAAATTGCATTTTAGCCAACTTGTTGCGCGTAATTGACCATGTAAGTACGTGTGTTGCACGCCTTTGCTTTTTCTGCGTGATTTTCATGTGCGCCACAACAAACAACAAACTGGTCAGCGCCACCGCAAAGTGAGTGCGTTGCATGCAACAAAGTCACTTGTGTACAAACACATAAATAATGCACCGAGATAGCTATCTCAAGGCACCGATCGCTGATATGGTGAACACAAAGCGTTCGACTTGAATACAAATATATGCAATTACATACCAACATACATACACACACAAGGAGGCTTGTAGGCAATTTGCAAATATTTGGCATTTTTTAATTTAGTTGCCATGAAATTAAAATTGATGATCAGCTTATCTGAATAAACTCGTAGAAATTTGCTGTAGATCCTTATCGTTTATAATCGAATTGTTATGGTGGTATTTAAGGTGGGTAAATATATACATACATATAAATATTCTGTATTACTCAATTAGTTGAAATTGTCACATTTTGTGAATATACATTTTGTTTTAACTTGAATTTTTCATTCAAGTTTTAAACCATCGTCTTCATCAAAAGTGTTTCGGTCGGAGCATTTCATAATTAATTATAATCCTGCACTTTATTTATTAAAATTAATATTTTCCACCTGCATAGTTTAACCAGTTTCCAATTAAATTATTTTTGGCAAGAGTTAGAAATGAAATGATCTTCTTGAGTGATATAGGCATTGTTTCATAAAATTTCCACTTAACTAAATAGGCACTTAGTTATTGTCAAAAACTTTATTTTCAGAATATCCTTAGACCAATATCTGAGACCAGGGACCTGGTTTAAGGGTTTTTATCCACTTGCGAGTCCGAAAAAAATATTTTTTGTGAATTTTTTTTAGAATTGTAAGAACTATTTGCTTTATAATAAATATAAACCGTTTTGTTCGACAACTTGTCATTTTGAAAGTAATATCATAATGTCACTCTAATAGTCACGCAAAAAAAAAAACTGTGACAGTCGCTTTTCACAAGCTTCTCTTAAGACCATTTTTTCACCAGCAAAATCATTCGCCATTGACAGGAACAGGCGGTAATCAATTAGTACCAGGTCCGAACTATAAGGTGGATGCATAAAATTATCCGAACCAAGCTCCCGACAAGTCTGGAAAATCTCTTTCGATATGTATGTTCTGGCCGCTTCTGAGCGATTTCTTACTTCAGACGATCCAATTGCGGACGGTACAGGTGCGAACTAAGAGTTTAGCCATAGTGAAGCAACTCGTACCAGATGATTCCCTGCCAATCCTACCAAACACATAGCAAAATCTTTCTGACCGTTAATCCTAGCTTAGCCCTGATTCGATTAAAACCGTATTCGTTGGACTCTTCAAAATTGGGTTGATTGTTTTGCGATTCAGCAGCGATTCGCAGTTGGAAATTCGGTCCATATTAAGCTCCTGGACAATCGAAACTTGATAAGAACATCTGAGAATTCGTTCGGTCCAGCCGAAATGTTCCCGACTCGGAAAACGTCGTTTCGAGAAAAACGCGTTTAAAGTTTTGGAAGCCAATTATACTTAGCCAAAAAAATTATTATAAATACGCTCATATCTCCGATACTATTTGCGGGCTAACTTCAAGTTTTTAGAGAATATTCTCAAATATATATACATTCAAATATTTATATCTACAATTGTTAAAATTCAAATTTGATGTGAGTTTAAGGTTAAGATGATAACTATCCAAATTAAATTACCAAATATATTCTCAATGTTAGCCCTAAAGATATTTCTTAATTTTTCAAAAGAAAATTTTTTTTTTTTTTTTTTAGTATTCAGTGTTCAGGTATTATGCGGCAAATGAGTGGTCCTTTATGTTCAAAACCTTCTACGAATGTCTAATGAATTTTTTAGAATTATTTTTACATCAGAAATAAAGACAGATTTTTAACATTACCTGCAGAAAAGTGGCCGTATTTGGAATAAACGTATTATATAATGTTATTTGTGGCACTAGCCTCTAGAGTTGACTTAAAGCTTAGTTCACACGAAATATTAATTAATTAAATTCACATTTCAAAATTAATTCTTATATTACTTATAAAGCATTTTACTTAAGTAATTTTTCTTTATCATAAATCTTATAAATCTTCAATAAAGCTCCCATAAAGCTCTAATTGTATAAAAATCAGACCTCTTAAAAACTATATTCATTATATTTTGTAAAAGTATTTTGTGTGACGTAATCAGTTTCAATACATACATATATATATTATATATGATATATACAAAGTATATCATTATTACATTGTTCGTACTGCCAAATGAGCTACGAATAAAAAGCGTTGTGATTTCTCTAGAAAAGTTTTATTCTAAATAACAAGGTAAATATAAGTTAATTAAAACTCGGCTGCGTCGCTACAATGATATCTGTATTTGCGAATATGATAAGTAAGTGGTAAGCACATGAATTATAAAGATAATTTTGTTCAGTGGTATGAAGTTTATTAATGAATATAATAAATGCTTTATGCTTGTTGTTGTATTTGGAAGCACCTTAAAATTTATTTTTGGGAAGTCACAACTCATTTTAATCATAGGAAAGACACCTAAAACCGATAAGCAGATATACATACATAGCTACTAATTTAACTGCAAATGCTGACGTAAGAAGAGAGTGTGCGAGATAGTAAGAGAGAATTTTATTTCGAGAGCTATTGATAACTTATCAAAGTGGAATGGAGCAGGTGTGAAAAGAATTGGCAAGTGTGAAAACGTACGAGGAATTTCCGTAAACTCAGTTTGGGTTGGGTAATAGATGTACTAACAACGTAGTTGACAATGTTTTTTGGAGTCATTTAAAAAGAATTTAACGAAAGTAGGAAATTTGCTGCCTATGGGTTAACTTAAAAGAAAAATATATAAATAATAATTCATAAAACGTTGCTTACTTTTTAATTGATATTATTATAGTTTTTATTTTTTAATTAAAAATTATATGTTTTTTTACTAATTATGTAATCATTTTTTCTTTCACTTCACAGTTCGCTACATAATCAGCTGATTTGCGCATCATCTCTTCTTCGCTTGCAGATATCTACACCTCGCAGTTATATTTGAACGCTTTGGAACCAGTTGCTGCCGCATCTAGTCACTAGAAACACACCACAATGCAGCCGTTACGTACACACTCACGAGCTTTAAAGCTACCTATAGTCTACGCCGCTTTGCTTCTACTCTGCTGTCTATTTGTTGAGAGCTCCCCCGCGCCAAGCAAAGAAGTAATTAGTACGGTAAATGCTACAACTTCGGACAACAACAATTACAACTGCCCAGCTGATTGTCAATGCGTTCTGGCGCAAAACACGCACACACCAGTGCTGCATGCTAAATGTACCAGTTTGGAGGGTTTGCGTTTGTACGAAGCCAAAGAATCCTCACTGCCCATACACTCGCTGGACTTGTCTTACCTGAATTTGAAACGGTTGTCGCATCCGCTGGAGAAGCTACCCAGCGTCACATCGATAGATCTCTCGCACAATGACCTCCACGAATTCGGACATTTGGGACGACGCATTAAGAAGCTGAACCTCAAACACAATCGCATAACATCGAGCAAATTGGTCAAACTGCCGGCGCATGTACAAGTGCTGAATCTACAGCATAACGACATCACATATTTGCCGTTGGATTTGACACGTCTGTCCAATTTGATGACACTCGAGTTGAGTCACAATCAAATTAATTGCTCCTGCGAAACATTGGAGGTGCGCAACTGGCTGCAGGAGCGTCACGTGTTCATGGAACATGCCGTCACTTGTACATATCCCGTTGAAGTTAAAGGTAAGTCGTGGTTGCAGGTCAAACAGTCCGACATTTGTGAGCACGAGAAGAACGGACGCCTCAACGATGAGGAGGATAATGAACTGATGATGGGCGATCAGCCAGTTGAAGGTTCCGGTGACCAGGACGATGAGGATGAGTTGGGTAAGGCATTTATTCCAATCGAGAAAGCAAGCACTGCGAAAACAAGTGTGACACAACTCGATACTGTTGAGGGTTCAGGTGATTTGAGTGATGTGCCTGCGAACTTAGCCATAACAACCGTTTTGCCAGCAGTGGAGAGTTCGCAAGAACATGTTACAACCGATGCGCCACCACTACCCATCGAACAGGAAGAAGATGGAGATGATGGTTCAGGCAGCGGTGCTGGCATACTCATCATCCCCAGTATTACACGCGATCGCATGATCACAGATGATTTTGAAACACCCGATGCGGATGACACCGACGACGCATTCGACAATAAACCGGTGGAGGAACCTAAACCAGCAGAGCAAGAGGAGCATGAACACAAGGAGGCAGCTGATATTTTCGGCACCGGTATGGGCATATTCGATACAGATGAAAATGGTGTGAAAAACACAAAAGCTCAAGAGCCGGTTACAGAGGAACCCATTGTACCGGTTGTACACCAGAACGTTGAGGCAGAAGCTGTGCCCGACGTAAGTACCGAAGGCGCAACAAATGGTGAACCTAGCGCCATACTAACCGCTAATGTGAGTGGCGAACAGAAGGACGACAGCAATGCTACATATTTCCTATTGGGCGTGCTTGGCTTCATTGTATTCGGCTTGATACTATATGTGGGTATCAAGCGGTGCAAAAACAATAGTAATGCCGCACACGATGCTGAAAATCCACGCCAAACCGAATTACTCGACATGGATAAAAAGAATTTGGGCAAACCCTTGCGTAATGGCAACGAGCATTCGCCACTCATTGGCGATCAAACCAAATCTGATCTCGCGAAACCGATCAATGGCACCGGACAAAAGAAACCCTACGACGCGAACGATGTAAAAGATGGTCCCGCCCAACAACAGCCACTGCTGAACGGCAGCAATGGCACATCGCCAAACGATCAAGTGAGCAAAGAGCAGGCGGCACCTGTGACCGAGGCGTCCGCACCACATGAATATCATCCGATAACACCGCGTTACCCCACACCGAAGTCGCCACGTGCCTCCAAATATGCACAATACCCACAAGAGGGTGCCGAGCACAACAACAACAACAACAATGATGACAGTTATCTGCCTTCGTCGCCGAAATTGGGCCGTTACTCGCCAGTGTATTCACCAGAAACGGGACGCGTCAAAATCAAGCTGACCGAAACACCCCGCCCCAAAACACCAATGTTGGTTACGCGTAGCAAATCGAACGCTGGCGATATCATAACAACGCCTGTAACGGCAACGAACGGCATTGATAACACTCTGACTGTGCCCGGCGTGCATGCGCCCACGGCGACGCTGGTAAATGGCCACTAAACGGTGTGGTGTGGCGCGATGTGTTACGTTGAAAAGTGTGCGACGAGCCGAACACGTGTGCTGCCGTTCGCGTCCAAAACGGTGCTAAACGAACTATAAGCTACGAAATTAGAATAAAAAATAAAATAAAAACAACAACAAAAAACTAACATCTTGCAGCGCAAATTGTATAGGGAAGGACTTTTCTAAAGTGTATACAATTCAGGTAGAAAGAAAGGTTTAAGTAGGCATGCAAGCGTCTAGTTTGTAAGGAGGTGTAAAGGGGGCTTACTGACATTGTGGCCGTCTAAAGTTCGTGGTTAAGTAGCTGCTATAAGTAAAATTTTCTGCAGTTTCGGCTCGTGCGCGGCATTTGTGCTTTGTTGGCGTTCTTGTGCGAGCTTAGTATATGTAGTACATACATATGTTAGATTATAATTATCAACTTGTGACACTAACAAATTTTGCACTTTAAAATCGTATACTTTTAAATCACTTTTATTTAATTTTTTTAATAAATTTTTTTTTTTGTAAACAAACTTTTATTTGCCACTGTAATAAATGTATAACTACTGTGGGGAAAGAGAGAACAAGTGTGCCAAGGAATTGTGCCTTAAAAAAGTTGTTTGCAAATTAAGTAGTAACTGTATATATACCAGTCAAACAACAACAACAACAACACAATATTATTGAATAAGGAGAAGACATTGCTTTTAAGTATTAAATATTTTACTAAAATTGCTCAGCAAAATAAGCTTCTAAAGAATATGTTGACATGTTCTTATATATACAAGTATATAGTTAAATACATATTTCTGATCATATCTAAAGATATTACAACTAAAAATTTAACCAGGGAAAGTTTAAGATTTGAACTTGGAAAAGAAAAAAAAATATAAAAAAATAGAAATTCCTGAAAAGTAAAAGTAAAAACTACCTGAGCTCAAAAAATATGCTGTTGTGTCTTAATTTTATATACATATATTTTTTTTGTTCTATTCAGAAATTAAATGTTAAAAAAAATTTTTTCTAATTAAAAATTAGCATAACAGTATAAAGTTTAGCATTTCCAATACATCAAATGAGGTTATGTCGAAAATTTTTTTTCAAGACTACTGGTCGAAAATACCGCACTTGGTTTTTTGTTAATTTTGGAAAATATAATAATATAACATATTCTGGCAAGCTTGCGTTGTTTAAGCGCTTAAAAACATATTTAGTTTACGAAATCTTAAAATTAAGTGAAATCAATTGCTAAATCGCAAGATAATTAATCTTCATAAATATTTCTTATATAAAGAACTTATGTATTTATAGATTATTCTTTATAAAAAAGTATGGTTTTATTCTATATTTTCTACATATGTACATATACTAAGCTACTTGCGCATTAAGAACCAAGTCACGAGCTGATCTACTAGTACCGCCTACTTCCGGGTAAGCGTACGAGTATGATGAAAATCAGCGACCAGATGTGCCGCATTTAGGACTAATGCCAAATTACATACATAAAGTAACTATTAAAAACCGCGAAAATCATTTGATCATATCATAGAGCTCAACCGCCTTCGGAGCGTTAGTTACAAACCAGCACTTAGTATTTGAGAAACGCTCCAAATCTAAACTTCTTCTGCCTAGCTGCGCGAAAAAAAAAATAAATAAAACCTGAAAAAATCGGCCAACTGTTGAAGACAAAACTAACGAAATTACAGTTAGAAAAAGCAACATTATAATGTGATAGGTTAATTATATACATATATACATACATAAATTATTTAAATAATAAAAAGCTATATGTTTGTAAATGCTAAAGGCAGTTTTGTAAAAAAAAAAGTTCGTTAATAAAATATTACTTACATATAACTGTAAAAAGCGAGAAAGCAAGCAGTAAACTAATGTGCAGTTTTATATTTCAAAGCGAAAAGCTTATAACAAAATTTTTTTCTAAATTGCGAACTATATATTAAAGTCAAAATAAATATATGTATACAAAATATATATATAGTTATAAAATATATATAGATATAAAGAATATATATACCTATATATTTAAAAAAAAAAATATATATAAATATAATAGAAACTTATATTTACAGTATCGTATCTATGTAACTGCTTAAATATTATATATTTTTCGAAATTGTTTTTGTAACGACGTGTACATTCTAAATATAATGACCACGAGTGCTGTGCGTGAAAGCAAAATATAAAAAACAAAAAATAAATGTAATTTCTGCAAAAAACTAGTTGTAAGCGATATGTTTTAGCTAACGCACATATCAACCACTTTGAGTCAACAAAACGTAGAAAAAAAGTAATTTTTAAATATTTACGAAAAGTAATCAACGCTTTTGTGAAAATTTAGACTTTTCAAAATTTAATTTTTATTTTTATTTTGTAAAATTTAGTTTTATATATTTTAGAAATTAACAACACTGCAGTTGATTGCTATAAAAATTGTTTCCTTTCTAGTTAGTTTAATAAAAGTAAAATTGTTTGTATGTAATTTTAATGTATTTAATGTAATTTTAGCATAATACCAAAGTTATCTTTTATGCATACATACATACATACATACATACAAGAGTTATAAAGCATTATATTTTTTAGCTAAATGCAAAATATTTGCGCTTCGCTTTATTTTACTTTTCTTTTCCTAATTTTTTGTTTCCTATGTCAATTCCTTTTGTTTAACGTATATTATATACATGCATACATACATATGTAACTTATTTAATAGCTAAGTTGCTAAATTTATTGCATATTATTTAAATGAGTTAGCTGAACTTTTCATTTGTATTAAAAAGCAACAACAAACATTGCATAAATATAACCAAAGCTGCCTGTAAACAAAACGCGCAAAAATACATATATATGTACATATGTATATACCTATACAACTGTATATAAGTATGCATGTGTATTTCCTTTAATAACTAGTTTTCATTTTCAGCTAAATTTCAAAACACCAATTCTTGTTTCAATTTATCTAGTATGAATATTAAGCTGAAATAGTTTTGAAAATAGTATGTATGTGTTGCGCTTCAATGCAAATATGTATGTATATCAGTTCATTTTAGTTTTATTGTATAGAAATTTCAAAAATTTAACTGCTATGTTTAAAATATTTCTAAAGTTTTATTTATTTTTAATTAAAAATTAAAATAATAAATAAATAAAATCGTAACATAAACACTGTGTTTTATTTCTAATGCTTGGCTATAAGGTTTGAGAATTAAATTAAATTATTTTCATTACCAATTTTACTTTGATTTCCCACACCAGTCCTCAAAAACCTGCTTTTGAATTTAAGCACAAAAAACTTATAAAATATTTAATTTGAAGAATTTTAAAAATTACTCATTAAATTATTATTTATTAATTTATTATTATTTATTATTTATTAAATAATTATTTAATTTTAGTGACTTTCTTTCAAATAAGTTTTTTAACTAAATTTTGAAATTATTTTCTTTTATTTATAATTATTTATTTATTTATTATTATATAATTATTTTGTATTTCGTTTTCGTTAAGCACTAAAAATTAAAAAAAAATTTTCCATTCAAAAATTTATATTTTTTATTAATTAATTTTAGTTATATCGCATAAAACTCAATTTTTAAATAATTTTCGAAATTACAAATTTTCATTCCACCAACCAATATTATTTCTAATAAACCAATTCAATTTTCATACAAAAAATACATTTGATATTTTTCCATCAAATTAATTTTTAAAATAAAATCGAAAATTATTTTCATTATAATTATTTAAAATCTATACTTTATCTTCTTTTTAACTTTAACATAAACATTAAGGCGATGATTTACTAATAAATATATCATTCATTTTTTTATTGCTCAACAAAATAATTTAAATTAATTTAAATAAATACTGTGAATTTTCTATTATATGTCTTTAAAAATGTCTTAAATTTTCGCAAAAGAACGCAATTTCCACTCAATTCCCTGCAAAATCTCACTCACTCACACAAATCTGCCGGGTTGCTAGCGGCGTCACCTAAAAAATCGCCGCGTGCACAAACTACCAGTTTCACCAGGTGAGCAGGAGCAGTAAGTAGGCGGCTGCTGGGCTGCAAAATTACTTAGCCAAGTCGCAATCCTTTATCAGCAAATACTACAACCAACTCTTTTACGTCGGATAGCGCCCTCTGTGTGTGACATTGTGCTATAGCGAAAACATGGTCGCGAACTATAATGGAAGTTTAGTAAATACACAAACCATCTTGTTTACAGCGTGCTTCAGATGATTAAAATTTCTTAACTATTCAATTTACTAAATTAATTATTATTTTAGTATCGCCTTTTAAATTAATACATTATTGTTATTTGTTAACAGCTTTTTAAAAATAAAACTTTCTAAGCGTCACATGACTAATAACATTATTAATATTTTACAATATACTATTAAACGTTAAATACTTTTCGTTGAACAACACACACACACACGCACACACACACACACATGGAAACAAGTATGTGTATGGTGCACTTTCCGCTAGCTTCAGGCAGGTCACTTTGTAGCGCACCTAGAAAAGTGTTTCGCGCATTGGCTTGTGCACCACCACAATGGGATCCCTATCAGATGAAGTTGAAGAGGTCTCGCCTGCTGCTGCCGCCGCGGCGGTAAAATTACCACTCGCACGTCTATTCGTCGAGTTCAGTCGTTTCTTTCGTCTGCCGCGTTCCAAATTGCTTGCTGAATTTCCACCACTCGACGATGTGTTATGCAATTCTAAAATGGAGGAGTTTTCCGCATCGACCACCAACTGGAAATCACTCTCGTCTGACGTGGAATCATGTGGCTTTCGCACGCTACCGAAGTAATCCTCCACAGCTGGCGCTAATGGGCTGTCGGCGAGTACAGCTGCTGCTGTCGCTGGTGTTGTTGGTGTTTTCGGTTTGCGACGCGCAAATGGACTGCCCGGTTTGCTGTGATCTTCATATTCGGGGTCTGTAAGGAACTCAACACTGTCGGTGCGCATGGTGGCGCGTTTGAATGGCGGTATTTCAGCTACTTTGGGACGTCGTTTTGTGTACGGACTATGCTCGTAACCCTGGAAGTTTGCGATTTTCTCAGCGCTTTGCAAATTCTGCGACTTTAAGTGTGCGGCGGGGAAGCGTGATTCTTCAACACTCAAACGGCGACTACGTGAATTGCTATATACCACATAGCCGGTGCGTGCGAACGGTGTTATGTTGGCGGTGCGCTCTTTTACGCGATTCGAAAGCATTTCTTCGCTGCGGAAGCGCTGACGATCGTCCAGCATTAAGTCGGCATCCTCGATATCACCATCGGGATTGGTTTGTGAGCGTCGTAATTTGTTGCGACGTGTATGCCCTGATTCAGTCAAGTCCATCATCGATTTAACGGGTCGCTCAAGTTTCGGCATGAGTATAGCATCTTCGTACGACGGCAAGTTGTTCTCAAAAGGATATGGTGCATTGGGTGTGGCGGGCTCATCAAGCATACGTTGATTCTGTGCGCGTCTGTAATTATAAAAATTATAAATAGATTCGTAATAGCAATTGATAGCTTAAAGTAATCAAACTTACATCTCCATCATTTCATCGCGGTTCTGTCGATACTCCTCCCGATTGCGCCGCTGCTTGCGGCTTTTTATACATTTCTTGAAGCCGGTATATAAGAGTGTTCCAACACCTATCCCTAAGATGCACAGCAATATCGCAGTCCACGCTTGTTCTGCTTTGGAAGAGCGTCCATTAGGTATCCAGACACTGCCACAAGCACTTTCCCAGGTCTTACCATAGAGGGAGGAGGGTGAAGCACAACGTACATATTTACGATCCTTTAACTGGAATGACACGAAGTTAAAATTTCATCAGAACTATAGATCGGATATTGAAATACCGCAGTTAAAAACATGATAAATAGTACATGTAAAATATTATATGCAGATAACCTTAAAATAAACAGAAGAAATTAAAAGAGATTTCAAAACAACAGATAACTCATAAATAAATATACCAATCTAGAGAAAAAAAAAACACTTAAGCACACTTTCTCCTTAAGCAAACTGTCCACAAAACAGTTGCTCAACCACCAAGTTTTCACACGTGACATCAAAAGTACGGGGAGAGACTTGCCACCCATAAGGTGGTGTTTTAAACGCGTTAGACTTTATGTTGTAATACCTAGTCGAAAATGAAGCAATTGTACAAATATAAATTACATAATCCTACCTTCTGTGGCACTGCAGTTAGAAAATCGTAAAAGTCGATAAATGTTGGATCGTGACAATTGCAAATCCATGGATTATCGCCAATCCAGATGGCGTCCAGATAATGATTCGAACGAAAATATTCAGCCGGTATTGGGTTCGTAAAACGATTGCCACTCAAATACAACCAAGCCAGTTCCGGAAACCCGGAGAATGTTGTATTTCTTATGCTCGACAATCTACGAAAATCAAAAGTTTCATTAACAACACGCTTGATAACAACACGCGAATATTTACTCACTTGCAGTTACTCAAATCTAAGCGCTGCAGCGTTTCGGAGTGCAGGTTCGGCGGAAACTCCTTGATAAGTGTTTTAGATAAGTCGAGTCGCTGTATTACCGATAGGCCCGTTAAGGCATTCGCATCGATTATAATTATTTCGCAACCACTTAAGTTTATTTCACGCAACGAATTCGATATGAGTTTCGTAAATTTCTCCATAACATTGTGACTAAGATTGACCGAGATGAGCACATCGTTGGAACGAAACAAGTTCTTATCGAGCAACGCTATTTCGTTATAGGACAAGTCGAGCGTCGCCAAATGAGTCAATTTAACGAATGCATTGGTTTGTATATTTCGGAGCGAGTTCTTTGCCAAGTCCAACGTTTGCAACTGTGTGTTATTGGCAAAGGTATATTGATCCAGAATGCGAAGCATGTTACCGCGTAAATGTGCATGTGATAAACTTGGGAAGCCACTCAAATTTATCGTAACTAAATTACAAAAGGAGGCATCCAACTCCAAGAGGGTTTCGGATATTATCATATCCTTAAAGTCTATGGCGAAATTCCACGACACATTTAATTTCTCCAAATTTGGCAAACCTTCAATTAGTGTTTTCGGTATGCGTAACAAGCTGCAATTGCTGAGCTCGAGCTCACGTAATGAGCCTGACGGTATATTATTCAGGGTAATTAATGGATTACCCGACAACACCAAACGTTCCAGCGAGGGTAGTCCATTTATCAGATGATCACCACCAACTGTCGTAATACTGCAATGCTCCAGTTCCAGATTGGTCAGAGATTCGCTGATCAACGTTTGTTCCTCCTTAAAATCGGTAAAAGTTTTTAAATTATTTCCACTTAAACTGAGGTGTTTTAAGCTAATGGCATTACGAAAAGCTTCTTGAGGACTTAAATCCAACCAACTGTTAAAACTATTGTTCGTGAGTAAGAGAACGCGCAGAGCTGTAAATCCAATCAGCGCATCGGCATCTAGCTGGCTGATATTATTGTTAGAGAGATCTAAGTAGACGAGTGATTCGATATCAGCGAATTGTGAGGGAAAACGATCAAATTTATTGCCCGACAAATCGAGATGGTCAATGGGTAAATCGGAAAAGTTCGGATACTCTGTTAGACCTTTATGTGCACACTCCACGCATAGGCTGTCGAGTACCCAAAAGCATTTACAGTTGGGAGGACAATTAAGCGCAGAAGCCGACGATGCGAAATAGAACAGCAGGGTGATAGTGAGGTAACAACGAAGTCTTGACATTTTTTACACGATGATGCGACGATGTTTTGATGTGATATGTGACATAGAGATGCGCTGTAAAGTGGAGACAAAAATATTAAACATTTTATATAGGACATTTGCAGAGGTTAAGAAAGTTGCATAAGAAAGAATAAACTAGAACTTTCATAGTCATCTGTCTCCAATGTATTGAAACAATCGAGGATTCTTCAAAGTAACTTCAAAGGATTCTAATTTTCAATAAGAAATCCACGTTATCTATTGAGTTAAAGTTAACTAGATAACTTTATAGTTTTTAAACCTTTTGCAGGGGAGCAGTTACTCAAGATCAACGGGTATAAAAATATTTTAATCTTTATCTCTCATTCTAGTGATTTATTATTGCAAGTATAAAGTCTAGTAAAAATAAATCCATTATTTTTGCATGAAATTAAAAGTTCTATTTAGCATAGTTAGAATGATCCGAGTTAGGTCAAGTTGAACCGTTTTGTTCGCTAACTGTAACTTTTTGGCCAAAAACTGGGATTGTCCATTTTTAAAAGCTTCTCTTGAGGCGAATTTTTTATCAGTAAAATCATTTGTTATACACAGGAATACATAATAATCACTTAGTGTCAGATCCGAACTATAAGGAGAACCCATAAGAACTACCAACCAAGCTCCCTGAGCTTTTGACGAGTCACTATCAATGTGTCTGTCTGGCGTTGTCCTGATTAAACATAATTTTTCTTCAATTCAATTGTGGACATTATTGGTTCGAATTACACACACACAATTCAGTCAGTTGTCTTAATATGTCACGTCGTGACGTGAAATACGAAAAATGAGTGCTCAGTTTAAGAAAAATTTTTGAATCAGACTTACTAACGAAGCATCCTTAAGGTCCCAAATGGACTATTTAAAAAATTGCAAAGTATTCAAATACGAGTTGTATATTTATGAAAAGGTGGTCTGACCAATATGGAGAAACTGCTAACGTTGATGACAACCCGGAAAGAGTGAGGAATCACGTGACATCTAAAAGAGAGGACAAAGCTATTGTTCTCCTTTCTGAGAAAAAAACACTACCCAGCCTATTTGAAACTAAACAATTTTGTATTAAAAGGCTTTAGATATATCTCTAAATACAAAACCCGATATACTTCAGAGATCTGCTATCAAACGCAGCAGTACCGTAATCAAACCTCTACACACATTAAAACGCAATATAATATTTACAGATGAGTCGAATTTTGCATTCTTCAACACCTTGAGACGTGTTTGGCTAAGAAAAGGACAAACATTTATACAAAGGAGTTTTAAGCATTCCCAAAAAGTACATGTTTATGGAAGCTTCTCTGCTTACGGATTTGGGGGTCGGAGGTGCTTCACAGAAAATCTGAACGTCATTAGAATAGTAAATTTGTATAAAAAGGGTTTACTGAAGTCAGCTGAAATGTTTTACGGCAAAAGTAACCATGATTGGATACTGCAAGAAGACAATGATTCGAAACATAAGAGCAGACTCTATACTTAATCGAAACAAGAAAACCATATTATTACTTTAGCTTGGCCATTACAATCACCAGACGCCAATCCAATAGAGAATGTGTGGCGTTTAATGAAAGCCTAAATATCATGTCGGCCTGGAGGTTGCTACCTGTGGAACATGCCAAAATGTTTATGCAAGTTGCCATCAAAGATATCAAGTTATAATAGACAACGCCGAAGAATGCAACGCGGGAGCAAATATTGAATAAACGCCAGCTATAACAAAATAATGTACAAAATTTTTACCAGTAAACGCTATTCATACTTTGGAAAAGGAAAACGTTATTTTTTGAGGGCACTGTATATATCCTTTCGAAAATCAGCGACTAAACTTATAGAGACTGGCAACATTCATATTAACTTACTTCAGTACATAATAATATAATATTAATTTCCCACTTTTAGCATTCGATTGTATTAGGCGCTGAGTCATTTCTACTGTTATTTGGTAGTATTGCAGCAGATAATAAAACACACCGTTCAAGTTCACATATACGAAAGCTAATCAGTAAATACCTTTGATAAAATCTATACCCGCGGAAAAGCTAGAACTGGAGAAAAACTGTTTTATATTTTATTGATCTATAGTATGCGAGTGGATAGGGAAATATTTTTGGATTGAAGGGATAACTTTACGCGCATTTTACTTTTTGTATTTAATCATTAATATATTTATTAATTTATTCATTGCTCGTGAAATGTGCCTTCAATATAAGTTACACATTAAAATTGTTCATAAAGACGAGTTTAAGGGGTTGCCAACACATATATATTCACACGTTGAAATAATTTGCACATTTCTGGAACTAAACGTTGTGAATCCAAAGACTTTATGATAATATTTGTTTACAATGTTATCGGTCAATTTTTGGCGTGTGTGTATTTACGCATATACAAATATTTAATTATGTGTGAAAGTATGTGTAAAGTATTTACATACAAGTATATCATTAAGTATGAATACATTCAGACAAGTCGATGGGCTTATTTTAAGTTCATATTTTGTCTATATTTTCCAAGGTTCTTGCCGCTCAAGGGAAATTGCGCCATTTATAGAGAATTTCTTTCATTTTGTATTAATGCAACAAGTATTTCCATATGTAGGTGCACATGTATGTATGTATGTATGTATATGTACGAGATAATGAACTTTGATAATAGGCAATTTTCAAGTGTAAATGAAAAGTAAAAATACTTTGTCTTATACAGATTAACGGACAAGAGATAACGATAATGCGAAGTTTCTTCATATTCACATGCATGTGTAAGTATATACATGGGACATATACATATGCATATATTTAAGTTGTTTTGATCGAAAATAGAGCTGAAATCGGACACAAGAAAAGATATAATACGCAATATTTTACAGTTTTTCGTCTTCGATAAACCAAAAAACGTAAACCAAGCGGCTGGAAATATGAAAGTCTGATTATAAGCATATATGTTACAGTATGTTTCTATGTGATTTTTTGGGATTAACAGGAAATTATCTACTATGAACTGCTGGCCTACGGCACTAAATTCGGACTTGTATAGTCAACAATTGGACCGTCTGAAGGAAATAATCGCACAGAAACGGTCATCTTTGACTAATAGGAGAGGAATGGTGTTCCATTAGGACAACGACAAGCCACATAGTGACTCGCTAGAAGCTGCGGGAGCTTGGTTGGAAAGTTCTTCTACTTTCATTTTATAGAACGGATCTGGCACTCGGTGATAAAAATATGTTCCTCTCCATCGCGAATGATTTTAATGGTGTAAAATTGACAAATTTAAAGAGAAGCTTACGAGGATCTTCTATGAGAGCGAACAGATCGGTGCATCTTTGACATAATTCAGATCATTCTAGCTATGTCAAAAAAAATATACAGTTTTTTGCAAAAAATTATTGCTTTATTTTTACTAGACCTTCTACATATACAAATGTTATTATTAATTTCGTATGCAGTAATTTTTTGTTTTTTTACAATTTTTGTTTTGAAAAATTATTATTTATTGTATATGTATATATTATGAAGACCATTCAACAATCTCAGTGGAAACATTTTCAAACTAATATACCTATATCAAAAAATAAAACATTTTTATGAAAAAAAAACCAAAAAAATGTTATGTTTATTTTTGTTCTTAAACCCGTAGTTCCACCATAAAAAAATATAGCAAAAAAAAACAGCGTCCACTTGTTTCGATTATTATACACAACATTGTATTACAATATATACACTTGCATATAATTTCTTATCAGCATTATCTATTCGTATCAATGTAAAATTGCATGTAAGTTTAATAATAAAATAAACTTACGGACAAACATACATACATATAAATATATGCGTGTACATTCTATAAAAAATATATATATTATATAAGAATATTATATACATAGATGCTTTGTATGAAAATATGGCATTTGTTTACAGAGTTGTTATAATTATCATTTGTTTTCTCTTTTTAATCAGTTGATTGTTATTTAATTATGTATATCAATTATTAATAGTAGTTCCCTAGATATTTGATTTCAAACAATTTTGGAAATTTTTCGAAAGCACATGTTAACTGATCTATGTTCATATGTATATGTATATCTAAACATTGTGGTGATCCTTAATTGGGTGTGAACATTTTTGTTTTAAACCACCCACTACTGTAGTACAAGAAGTCATTTACAAATTTTTTCTTTAAAATTTAGCTTAATTTGGGATGAGCTTAACTTTGAACCGTGTATGAGCTCAATATCCAGGGTTGCGACTTTTCAAATTTAACAATTTTGGACTAAAAATTTACAATTTAATCCCTAAATCAGAATAAAAATTGATAACAGAACTATTATAATTTTGAATAGAAAACATGGGAGTTACATTTATTTTTTAATCATTCTTCTTCATGATGGTGGTGATAAGCAGAAAAAAACCACTTTTGCTTTGTTAAAGACAACCCTGATGTAAATATTTAAACATTATATTTCTTTGTTCGAAATATAAATACTGTTTTCGAAATTATAAACACTTCATTGAATAAAAAAATTCAGTCAATTTCGAGGTGTTTGCATAAATGTGCACATTATTTAGTTAAATTTATTCATTTAATCATAATATGATTTAATAGTAATATTTCTGTTACTGAGAAATTTTTGAGATTTTCAGAGAGAAAAATTTCAGAATACTCAAATTTTCACTTATACACCTGTAGTGCATGACTATATTTGACCAACCGAACTATGGTATGTAATTGTTGTTTTGCACGTAGCTTATCAGCTATTAAAATGCGCGCCGAAGAGCTTTGTCAAATATAAATATTTATATGTACTCTATACATAAATACATATGTATGTGTATAAGTGCCGTTTCAGACAGGGATTCAAAAGAGTCTGATGTTTTTCAAATTTTCTTTTGGTGTCGCTCTGGGCATTCACACGGTCAAAAAGAGTCCAGCAACTCGAGTCTAGTTTTTCTGCATTCCTTTTCACAAAATTTTCGTAAATATTTGTGTGGTTCGACTGCGCAACACCGCGCAACACTGCGTGCTGCGTATTTCATTTGTATGTTGAGATGATGGTCACACATTTTGCTTGCAATGAATTACCATGAATATGGTAGAACAATATGCATAATACAAGTACCTACCCGCTAAATAGTTTCAAAGAAATACTAAAGACGGGAATTCCCTAATCCACAAGAATGTATTGAGTATCCGCAACTAATATTTTCAAGGCCAAATTTATAATAGGAATTTTCTAATCTTTAAGTATTAAAAACTCATAATTTCTTTACTCCGTCTTAAAAATTCATAATTTCTTTACTCCATAATCTATATCTTAATTTTCTCCTTATTTACAATTTGTCATAATATTTCTATTATTCTATGCATACGTATTTGCATATTACCCGAACACGAGTGGCACGGTCCCTTCGTCTTTCCTCGTCGTCCCCTCGCCCACAATAAACTGGTATGAGACTCTTTTGAATCCCTGTGTGAAACGGCATTAATTGATCAAACAAAGTGTATATTTTATACAATATTATGCATCCGTTTATTTAATTGGTATAAATTAAGTTTTTCAATGTATCAAAAACGAGTTATCGGAAATGACGTCACTAAGAAAATAATTTTGAATTTCTAGAACATTAAATTAAAATTTGAAAAAGCTACTAATTATTATTGTTTTATTTATATTATTATAAATGATAAACATATGTATGTATGAAAATATACCAGATTATATATTATTTAATTGTCTTATCACATCAAAAAGTAGAAACGAAATATTGACAATACTTATTGCATATACATACATATGTATGTATGTTTGCTTGTACCGTGCACATATTATTAGTCATACCTTAATACTTTTAAGCACCGTCCGTGTTATGAAGAATACTACTTTTGATTAAAAACTACACGATTTATATTAATAACTAATTATCAGTTGTTACTACGTATTTGTTCGGTGGATTTTTCATTTATGTATCTCTAAATTTTTCTTCGCCCTTAATGCACTTGCACAACAATGCCTCTCTATTGCTGTTCACATATTTCAAATTTGACGTTTCACTTGCTCACTGCACCGCAACTGATCTATATTTCAGCTATCACTATGAGTATGCGTATCTATAGGCACGGCGCGTTCTTCGTACGGATCGTTAGCGCGTCTCATTCGAAATTCATTCGATTACTGATTGCATTTACCTGTTGCGTTGAGTATACGGATTGTGTTGTCTTATCAGCAAAAGACACTCACACATACATGTATGCATAAAATAATACGCAGCCCTTCTTTCATTCAACATGGAACTCTCACCCGGCATGGCTAACGTTCAGATAAGATAAGCTAGATTGATAACGGGTTACGCCTTGTCTAAAGTTTGGCTTCTATTTCGTTTCGAAAAATATAAATATATATGCATACATATATCTATATATATAATAATTATATGTGGCGTTCTCCGGGCTTAACCCTAAACTACTGAACTGACGAGCCACAGCAACGTCGGATCTTACTAGTGTATAAATATGTGTAGAAATTATATGGACTAGTGCTGAATATTTGCGTATAAAAGTGTTACGAGAACAGTGTTGCACTATAATTGTAGAATAATGCGATAAGGAGAATATTATAATATTGAGAACCCAACAGTGGATTTAAAGCTCGGGCTAAAAAAAATAAATCAATATATGTTTATAAAAAATAGTTTGCGATTGAAACCCAAGTATAATATTACGATTACTTACAGTTTTATATTTGAATTTGTTATTAAACAATACATATATGGATTATAAAAGCTCGTAATGAGCTTTTTTATTTTATAGGCATACCACTTTCGGCTTTCTCATATAACACACAGAACAAAAATTACTAAATAAAATATTGCATCAGTGGTAAAAGTCGGCGCTATATGATTTTTTTTTAATATTAATTTGAGACTTCATAAAAATAAATGGCTGTAAAAGTTAATTAAGTATAATATATTTGCTGTTTTCGTTTTGCCAAATTTACAAAGTGGCGAATCGAAAGAGTAAATGGCAGGAATCGAATAGAAGAACGTTATATCTCTCTAATGAGGTACCTTCTTGCTCTCTTGCATAGAATTCAACTGGATAACTTTATTGTTGCTTTGGTTCAATGTTTTTGGCAAAAGGACAAAGCTCAAATCTAAGTAGCAGATGCGAATATAACTTTATATGTTTTACTGTCCCCGGCTTTCGGACTGTTAATGGCAAATAAGTAATTCCCAAACCTATTTCAATATAATATCAAGCAGTTGGCGTCAAAAACTTAGTCTACAGCGATATCCTGATCAAGTCATTAGGGGCCGAATTTTTATTTTATTGACTAAGTAGTCAGTAGAATTTTATTTATTATTAAGGATATAAATATTGTACTAATAAAAAAACTATTGTAAGAATTTATGTTGCCATTCAACTGATTTTAAATGAAAAAGTTTTTATTTCTACAGTTTTTTTTTTGTACACTATCTGAATCATTATTACTTCTGCGACAGCTGTAACAGCAGTTGCAGTTTCCGCTCTGTACGCATGTCTACTTTCATACTACAGTTAATTTACTATCTTATAGTAGGGGAGTTCATTTAATCAAGTGAACTTAAATCCACATATGAGTGATATAAAATAATCGCTATAGTTTAATAATTAATTTCTATTATCTGCGAATTGCTGTCTGAGTTGTCTGATTTTAATAAAACAGTTCATATTCAAAAGTACGATTTTTTTCTCACTTATGTATTAAATATTTTATACCACATGAGTTTGAGGGTGTGAGTTTTAAAGGGTGTGCCACTGTAGAATTTTCTAAAAATCGTTTTTTTTTTATTTCGCCTAAACTATGCTTTATTGTCATAAAAATTTAAAATTTGTAGCGAATAAAATTTTTTCAAAAGACTTTAAGCATATATACTTGTAGTAAGTGCCCCTCCGGTTCAGATCGTAGTTATATGTGAAACTTTAAACGCGTTTTCCTCTAAACTACTTTTTTCCAGTTGGCGAGGCAAATAACTTTGACAATTTTTATTCAATCGGCTGAAAATATTGAGATTATCTTTAGAATTTGATTTTGCTTAAAGAACGTAGAAATATTTCGATTGTTAAAAAAAAAAATTTATAACCAGTTTATTACGAAATTATTGACTAAAAGTTTAATTTTTCTGTTCATATGCTTATAATTTTCAAAGGAATCAATATTTTAAAATTTCTCTACACAATTCTATGGGTATTCTCATGTAGATTAATGATTTACTTTGATTTTGTTCCACGACAATTGCGGGTGATAAATGTCTCGTCGCGGTGCGCTTCATAAAACAACGATCAAAGTGACATCGCACAATCTGTTTATTATACTTGAGGTTCATACTTAATAAGTGTTTCATTAGTTCTGTGAATAAATGATTATATGACGAAAACAAATTAATGAATCTTGACATGATTTAATACCAGCTGCAGCGGCCACACCACTTAAGCAACAAAACAAAAAAAAAAAAAAATTCACCCCAAAAAGTTTCAAATTTAAAATCAATTCATGATTTCGGCGCTGAAACGGCTAAAAAATTGTATATAATAATTTTAAAAAATTTATAAACAAATGATCCGATCAAAGTGTATAATGTACATTTATACTTGATATTTTCAATATAAATAAAATATTCTTTCCCAAAATATATACAATATTTATCAAACCGTTTAATTTTTTGTTTTGCTTCCGTACTACTTTTTAACTTAAAGGTGAAATGTAAGGCCATGGACATATGTATAAAATATTTTCAAGTTATCCTTACCGATATATTAACTAAAATATGAGTAATAATTGAAATTTTTTTAGTCTGATAGAACATCCATAATGTAGTTAAATCGCTACTTGCATTCAAATACACTCCCACCTTAAGTATGGAACTTAAATAAAACCACTGCGCCTCTCTCTCCAACTCTTTTGCTGTTACCAGGAGTAAGCCGCGTGAGTACATAGAAGTAGTGATAGCAAAGTATCGCGTTTTGAGCATTCAAGGGTGGAGTTCGAATGGGGAAAAGTCCTTAAATAAATTTTGTCAACAATAATTCGCGTTGCCAAATGGAGCTGACATTCTGAACACCGACTATTAAGTTTAAAAATAAGTAGTTGCACATGCAAACAAACCGTTTTACTAAGTACAAGTACACTCATTTTCATTTTTGGCTGCAGCTGCGCGATGCAAGAGTGTTCAGTGCATTTGAACTAACAGTTCGAGATACAGAGATTGGGTAAGTACTGGTACTGTCTTTCCGTTGCCATTTACGATTATTTATATGGTTGATTGCTAAAAGGATCAAATGCAGAGATGGTGTAATGCAAAAAATGTTGGAGGGTTTACTAATAGTTTAGGTATGTTTCTTGGAAACAAATTTATATTGAAAGGAAATAATTAATCGGATATGAAATATGGACCCGACCAAAATCTTCTAGGTGTTTATTATTTCGATAATTATAACATCCTCGATCCTCGATTGGATCACAGAGGCGTCAATAAAACCAAGAACACTCGAAATTCCCCTAAGTTGATCTGCTCACTGTACAATCAAGAGAACATTTTTCATATTGTTGCGTTACTAACGTTTTATGTTGTTGTAACTGTCAACACTTAGTTACCAGATGAAGTGCGGAAAGCAGCTACGACAGCAATGTCTCAAAACGAATTATTGTAATGAAGCGTATGCGAATCACAAGCGACGGGGCACAACGAACACACATATGAACATGTGTTAGGATATGAGGCAAACAAACTTGCGAAGTGATAAACAAACAGATAAATAAACAATAAAAAGAAATTTAAACAGCAACTGCGGCTAAATGTCAACGACTTGAGCAAAAAAGAAAAGTATAGCCAAAACAAGGAGAAACCAGAATACAAACGGATAACAAATGGCAAACCCGAAAGTTCAAAATAGAAATGTCGGAGCGTGGGGTGTTGCAGAGTAAAATGAAGCTTCTTCAGTTCGCCTTGATAAGCGCTAAAAGGAAACAAGTCACAACTCTGCCGCCAATTGCAATTGATAAAGCTGCGTTGGCGCGGTAAAGGGAAACAGTGTAACTGTGATGACAATTGAAGAAACGGCGGGTGGTTTTTGCTTTTCTTATTGCCGTCACACTTAAGTAAAAAGGATCAAAATATGTGCGATTTAAAATCAACGCAAGATGTTTGAAGGTAAGTGACGGCAATTTACCACACCACCCCTCAAATGAAGCGTGCGGAATACTGTTACCTTTGTAGATGCATAATCGCTGACAATGTCGTCACCATCGCGCTGACAGCTGTTGCTTCGTCTCAATCGCTCATTCGCCTCATCTACCGTCATGCTCAACGCGCAGCGCTCATCTCTCGACATAGCCGGGACACAATGTCAACATTATTGTCATCACCGTTAAATGAAAACGATTGGAAACTATTGAAAAGTGAATGAAGCGAATCCTTCAGATGCGCCGCTAGGTTACGCGCCACAAAAGCCGTGTGCTGGCTTGCAGGGTTGCAGGGACGGCTGGACGCACGATAAGTCCTCGAATAATGAGTAGAGAAAAGAGTGCTTAGCGCTGGAAAATCGCGGTTTTACGCTTTTTGTCATTTTAATGAAGCATCAAGACTTGCGACTTTGGGGCTTCAACGTTTCACTACCGCCTCTCACTGGATAATTAGCCGCATTTTGAATGCTAAGGCGCGTTTGCCGCGCGCGCAATGGTAGCAAGTTAATATGCAACATGATAATGGCAGGCAAACCGTGCGGCGCGGCATGTTAGCGATGTGAAATCGCACAGTTGAAATCACAAGTTAATTCCATTGTCAAGTGTTTGCCCCCACTTCTTGGTGGTTGGTGGGAAGCAGCAAATTCATCGAATTTATTTCGGTATCTATGCGATGCTTTGCTCTTTGTTAATGGATTGATTTCGAAATTTTCTAATCCTATATTGCTATTCACGTGCTTTTTGAGGATGTTTCTTTCGAAATTTGTAGTAAGTCACAAAGAAAACAAAAAGATCTAAAAATAAGAAATAAGTGAAAAATTTGTTTTTGTTCTTTATTTTATTTGGAATTTTTATGGTTTTTGCATGACAAATTGTTTTTATATTCATTTGGGCTTTAGTTGGCTTTACTGCAAGTGACTTGCTTAAGAAACAGGCTCATTTCCATTTAAAGTCAAGTTTCTAATACATGCTGGACATACCTATTGGCGTTCTAGTTGTGGTTGTTTAGTGGGGAATATATATGTATATAAGAGGTTTTTGTAATAAAAGGAGGTCATAAAAGCGAAAATCTAAGTAAGCTGCTTAAACGTGCCTGCGACTGTTATACTGAATATGTATTAAAATGTATTTGTGTGTGCTTTTAAATTATGGCAGTTTAATATTAAAGTTAAAATAAATTACTTAAGTCATTATTAATATTTAAACTGTAAAACAAATAATATTAATATTTATTTGTTTTTGCAGATATGGACAGGGTAATTAATACA